GCCCTGCAAACTACACAAGGATAATTGGTAGAAAGCACCCACACCAAAACCTTTTCGGTTTTGGGCGCCCGAAATTCGACCATTTGGTACTACAGGCCCATACGTCTTCAACCTGGATGAAAGGCGCGTTCGCATCGTGGCCACATCTCTCTGGGCCCGTTTTTACTCATTAAAGGATTTGGCGCTCTTTTTGTGCCAGATTCATGAAGCAGTAGGGCCCTTTCTTTTTCAAAATACCGTATGTGGGCCTCTGGGCCTTATTCTATACTTCAGAGATACCACCCTCGGCCTCTTTTACATCAAAATGATGTGGTGCTGCTATGCGTCAGATTCATGATCCGGTAGGGCCCTTGGAGCGACGTCTGGGCCTGTAGTACCCCACATGGAAGTCATTGGGCCGGCAGTACCAAACGGCCGAGTTTCGGGCGCCCAAAACCGAAAAGGTCTTGGTGTGGGCGCTTTCTACCAATTATCCCAACTCTACTTCTGCTTTGATGTGGGTATCTTGGCTCTGCAGCGTTGCTCTCTAGCAGCCTTGTGCTGCATTGAATGTTGAATGCTCCAACACTCATTCCTTTGGTTCAGAACTGCCAGAGGTCTAGTCTAACCTATGAACGATGGTCCTCGACGGAGGCTCAACTCCTTTTCTACTCTTCGGGTCCCAAAACGACCAGGGTCTACCTCCTGATGCAGCAGATGCTGTCCCAGAAAAAGACATGGGAGTGGAGTAGGCACTCGTGGACGAACCAGATGTCCAGCCCAACATCGACAGAGAGTTTATTGGTCTCAAAATAACCATAAATCTGTGAGTCAGGGCCTACTTGCACTACTTGCAATCCGCCAAAGTTTGGCAAATAGGTCCATGGCCGCCAAGTTCGGCGAGTGGGTCAACGGCCGCACTTGCTTGCCAAACTTACCAGGGCGAAAAAGTGTGAGCAATTTTAGCGGAGGCCTGCTTTGATCCCACACCACCGCATAGGGATTTTCGGGTTTTTGCCATAAGAACAGCTGGCGTAGGGGTCATCATAGGCCCCTACCAGGGGTGGGTAAATCCGCCGTGATCCCACTACCGCCCCCATGAAACAGGCCTTGTTAGGAGGCAAAAAAAACTTAACATGAACCTGTTTGAGTCGCACGACTCCCTATGTTCCCGACATCTTATGGCTGAACCACTAGGATTGGCCGCTGACCTCTCTACGCTCAGGATGGTATATAGCCCCCCACCCTGAGTCCTGGATAAGTTGGGACGACGACTCGATTTCTAGCAAGACTGTAAGCGTCCAGTCCAAGGGATGCTGGACCCAGTTTCAAACAGGTGCATGCCCCCACCACATAGGTACTAGGGAGCATCGCTTTCCCACAAAAACATAAAAAAGTACAAGAAATGGAGACTCTTGCAGCCAGAATGTTTCTGGCAAGCAGACCCTGTTCGTTTTTGACTTTCTCACCTACGTGGCCTGGAAAGATCCGCACTCAATCTCGGTGCCTGATTTTTTTGGTATGGGAATGAAAACTCGCCAAAGTCTCTCTAAGGGCATAGAGCCTCCTTAGACACTCCTCGTGGACCCGAAATCCACACGGAAGTGCTCGTTCCACCTGTCCTCGGGGATGATTCGCAAAAAAAAAATTGAAAACAGCACAAGGAAATTTCCTTGTGGCTACGACCAATTTTTTCTAATCCCCAAGGGACCTCCCGAGGTTCCTCAGAGCACAAGGAAGCGCGGAAGCGGCGAAGGCATGTGTCGACACACAGTTTCGGTTTGAGGATGGTCCAGACGTGGTCCACCGAACGGGAGCACAGACATCCCTGCCCTCCACCATCTGGGCGCAGTGGGCGGCACCCCAAGGACTCTAAACGGTCACCGTCCGCGTTAGGCCTCCGTTCGTCGAATCGGGCGTCGCCGACCGGTGTCATGCGGTCTGATGCGCTGGGCAATCTTCGACAATGGTCGAAAATTTGAATGCTTATACGCGCCGGTGCTGTGTTCGACGACGACAGTTTTATTTTGGAAGATCGTCGTTTCCGTCGGTTGTCTTTAGGCCTTGCACGTCGGAGAATAGATTTTCCCTCGCTTCTTTTTCTGTCGGAGTTCTTCGCAGGACGGTCGACCATTGACGTTGAGCTGCTGCCCTTTGCATGACCCTTACATGACCGCCCTGCTGCACAGGTTGCCTCTGCTAGTCCTCACTATCATGCCGCTTCTCATGGTTGTCTTCTTCCACGTGTGTTTTGTCGGGCTTCTCCCTGTCGCGGCTTGCAAAAGGAGATCTTCCAAGAACGGCGACAGGATGGATTGACGACTGGCATGACAACAGGATCGAGCGATTGGCAACGCACTGCGGGGTTTGTGGCGAAGCAAGAGTACGACTCGACGTTGTATGCTCACCTGCCTTCGCATGAGATTCCTCTGCCGCGTCGGATGACGAGGGGGAAGACGTCAGGTCATCGACTGTGCCGTTGGGAAGTGGTTCCACGCAGGATTGGGCGGCGACACAGTCCTACGGTGGCAGGCGGGCAGAGACCCCGTGGCCTTACACTTGGGGATGTGCGGTGATGATGGCAATGCAGCGGTCAATCTTAGCTTCCAGTTGTTGAGCAGCAGCGGAGCAGCGGCGACACATACTCGCATCATCAATCCCCACCCAGATGGGGATTGCACGGAGCAGACGATGGTTGGTTCGTGCGGGGTGCGAGAAGGAGGCCTACCTCAATCACTTCGCAAGGGCGGCAGGAATCGAAATGTGTCCTCGAGGCATGGTAGAGTAGGAGTCGGCGAGGATCAACGTCTATGAAGCTCACCCGGGTCTCCGCGTGGACAGCAGCGACAGGATGACGCGTCCGCAGCAGTTGCGCACGTGGAACGAGATGGCGGGCAGTTGTGCGCAGACTGCAGGCAAGCCTTGCGTCAAGCTGGAATGGACACAATAACGAGAGGGGTGCAAGGGCTCCACGTCGACGAAGGTAACGATAGGGCTGTCCAGGAGCCCCTCGACTTCGACGACGTTGACGGTGACGACCATTGCAACTCGGACAATTTGCCTGGGATTAGGCTGCTTGGGAGGAGGGTGAGGAACGACAGTGCGAGTGCGAAAAAGGGTTCCACTCCGAGAAATCGGAGGAACAAGAAAATGGACGACGACACAGGTGGGAGTGATGGCGATGGCGCTCAAAATTTCTGGTCCGTCGGAGACACGATCGCACTCGTGAGGGCGAAAAGGGATCAAGATCCGTATTTCGCAGACATGGGGCAAAATTTCGGCCGCATGAAGACCAGGGAATGGAAGTGGGATAACGTGTGGTCCAGGTTGCAGAAGATGGACATTACGAAGAAGGTCGTCGACTGCAGGAAGAAGTGTGACAAATTGATGCAGCAATTCAAGAAGGTTCACAAGTTTTAGCACCTCTCCGGTGGAAAGGACTACTTCAAGCTTGCTTCATCGGCCAAGAGATAGGAGGGCTTCAACTTTGTTATGGACCGGAGCGTGTACGAGGAGATGGAGGCCATGACGAAGGGGGATCACACGATCCACCTGAAGAATTTGGCGGACACGGGGGCACCGGGGGGGGTGTAGATGCCGGCAGGTGGGGGGGCTAAAAAGGAATCCATGGGCAGTGGGGGTGGAGGGGAGCCCGTCGACGAGGAGCATGGGTCGAAGTCAGATTCGACATTCAGCGCAGGGAGCGTCGGCGATTCTGGGAAAAGGAAGAACATGCGGCAACAAACCTTAGAGGTCGTCCCCGAGGTCATGGACAAGCATGTTGCGCTCATGGCGAACAAGATGGACAGCGCAAGCAAGCGATAAAGCTCTATGATATTACGACAGTGCGAAATCCTTGAGAGTAAAGTGGACGTGCAGAGGAAACATTATAATGCAGCGGATGAGGTGAACAGAATGATGTGCAACGCCCTTATTGAGATAGCAAAATCCATCCGCGAGAGATCATGACGACACTACTGTTAAGTGTCGCTTTGGTGTCTTGTCTCGCAGTATACTGCGGCTGCGACGATGTCGACCTGTGTGTGTGTGTGCGCGTGTGTGTGTGTGTGTGTGTGTGTGTGTGTGTGTGTGTGTGTGTGTGTGTGTGTGTGT